TTATATTATATTATATTATATTATATTATATTATATTATATTATATTATATTATATTATATTATATTATATTATATTATATTATATTATATTATATTATGAGTTTAAATGGAGTTACCTTGTATTGGTACTTCCTTTCAAGTTGTTCATCAGATGTATGTCTGATGACTTTTATTTTTAAGACCCTAGTGATGAAGACATCACACACTTGGTTCAAAGAACATTAGAAAATCAAGCTGGTATTGACCTGGAAGCTTCCTCTCTGCTGAGCTTTCATAGTAACAGAACATGTTATACAGGCTGATGAGAGAAAAAAGTCATCAACAGTCTTACCTAGCTGTGCATACTTTGAGCTATAGTAATGACCAACCTAACAAGATATGCCTGCTGCTGCCTTAGTGGCATGGATGTTATGGGAGTTACCAACTGTTCTGGTTGAATGTAAGGCCCACTCCACAGAATGGAACACACATATATAATATTGCAAACCTGGCCAAGAACTGATTGCTAAAAGTGTCACAGATGCTCCAGGGGAACCTACTACTATTATTTTGTTAAAGAGAGATTGTAATCAAGCTATCTTCTAAATACTTACCTTTATTTTTTTGTAGATTAATGCGGCTCTCAGCCTTCATCAGGGAACCTTCCTTTTGTATTGGACGGCAGTCAATATATGTACTCGCAAATGGTCAAAGTACAGAAAATACGTGAAGGTGGAGTGCTCAGCCCCAAATGTAGCATCTGTATTAGATCCCTTCACCCCAAGACTCAGAGAACATCACAGAGGAGATCCTAAGAAGACTGTACAAGCCGGAGACAGAGAAGGACTTCTGTGAAACAGTGTCTTCTGGACATGAAAGGGCTCTTACACTCATGAGCTCTCTGCAGTTGTGATTGTCTGCATCACATTCTTCAAAATATGCATGGGGGAGGAGCTTCTGAGCTGCCATGCTTGCTGGATACTATTGGCAGTTCATGGATACTAGGAGTATTGGAATAATTTTTCTTTGGAAGTATGGCCACTGCTAGGTTTCCCATATTCCTGGTGGATTGCCCTATATCTATGTGTAAGAGTCTACCTTCATTTTTCTGCATTAAATATTAAATTTTCCCTTTAAACATCTCTCTGTTTTTTTTGTGTCCTCCATAATTTCTCTCACTAGTGTTTTATAATTTTATTGTACACCTTTTTCACTTCTTCAGGTAGATTTATTTCTATCTATTTTATTGGGATTAATTTTTCACTGTTGCTATGAAGTGTTTGTCCTTCCCCTCCACAGAAGTAGGGACAGAACCTATGTATGACCTGTGCATGCTAGATTCCACTCTAGTCTCCCGTTTATTATTTGGTCAGGGGCTATTGTGGATTTGTTTTATTTTGTCACTGTATTTGTGATATATAAAATGTTTCTTTTTATTGACTGTGATTCCTAAAACTTTACTGAATTTTTCTGCTCCAACACGTTTTAGTCAGTGTATTTAGTCAGGGATTTCTGTATATAAGGCCTTTCTATGAAAGAGGGTGATCTGATCCCCTCTTTTGTGATTGAATGTGCTTCATTCTTTTCTTCTACTGATTTCTGTAGCTGAAGTTTTCCTGTGTCCACCCAGCTCCTACAGCTGCCCAGACCCAAGTAAACACACAGAGACTTATATTACTGATAAACTGTATGGCCATGGCAGGCTTCCTGCTATCTAGTTCTTATATCTTTTTTTCTTTTTTCTTTTTGTGTGTGTGTGTGTTTTTATTTATTTTTTCATTTTTTCTTATTAAGAAATTTTCTACTCACTCCACATATTATCCAAAGATCCCCTGTCCTCCCACCTTCTTCCTCCCACCCTTCAGCCATCTTTCCCAAGCCACCCACATCCCCACATCCCCCAAATTGAGGTCTCCCATGAGGAGTCAGCAGATCCCAGCACACTGAGCCTAGGCAGGTCCAAGCCCCTTCCCACTGCACCAAGGCTGTGCAAGGTGTCACACCACAGGTACTGGATTCTAGAAGACTACCCATAGACCAGGGACAGATCCCAATCCCCCTGCCTGGGTGCCCCCCAAAGAGTTGGAGCCAAACAACCATCTTCAGTATCCAGAGGGCCTAGTCCAGTCCCATGGGGGCTCCATAGCCACCAGTCCACAGTTTATGGGCTTCAACTAGTATGGCAGATGAGAACATAGGGAAATGGGAGAGTCAAGCTAGAACAGGGACAGAGTGGGAGGCCAGGGAGGAAGATACCATGATAGATGAAGACATCATGAGAATAAGAAGAGGCAGGGTATGGGGAGGCTCTCAGGAATCCACAAGGTTGACCCCACATTGGTCTGCTGGCAGTTGTTCAGAGGGTGCCTGGACTAGTCTACTCTGGTGACCAGCCTAGCAAATAACCTAGCTGTCATCATAGAGCCTTTGTGCAGTGACTGATAGAGGCAGATACAGAGATCCACGGCCAGGCACCAGGCTGAGCTCCGGGAATCCAATTGATGAGAGGAGAGATACTGCAGGAGAGGGACGTTGCGATATTGATAGTTCTTATATCTTAAATTAACTGGTTTCTATTAATCTATAAGTTGCCACATGGCTTGTGGCTTACCGGTACTTTTACATGTTGCTTCCTCTGTGTCTGGCTGGCGACTCCTGACTCAATCTTCCTGTTCTCAGAATTCTCCTCTCTCTTTGTCCCACCTATACTTCCTGCCTGACTACTGGTCAATCAGCACTTTACTTATTAACCAATCAGAGCAACACATTCACAGCATACAGAGCGATATCCACAGCAGATTTCTTTTGTAAAACTTCCTTTGACTGTTCTAAGAAAGAGTGACCAATGTGGACATCCCTGTTTTTTCAGATCTCAAAGGAAACACCTTCAGCTTCTTCTACTTAGTGTGGAGGTGGTGGCTTTATCATATCTAGCCCTTTTTTTTTGGTAGGGTATGTGGGTTTATTTTCATAAAGGAGTGTTTAACTTTCATGAATGTTTTTTTCTGCACCCACTAATGATACTCTTTTGACCCTCTCCTATGCTGTTGTAATACATTATGGTTTTCAGTTTTTATTTCTTGAATCATCCTTGTATCTCTAGACTAAATTCTACTTCACACAGTACATCCCTTTTTCGAGTGTTTGTTAGTCAGTTTTCCATCATTGTGACAAAATGCCTAAGAAAAACAACCTAAAGGGGGAAAGGTTTACGTGGGCCAGTAGCTTCGGATCATTGCTGGCTCTGTGGCTTTTAGGTCTGTGCAACGTATGAACACCATGACGTAGAAACAGCAAAGCAAAGCTGTTCACTCACCTCATGGTAGCCGAGAAGCAGAGAGAGGGAGGAACAGGGTGAGGGAACAAGATACACCCTTGAAGGACACACCACAAATGACCTTCTTCTTCTTCTTCTTCTTCTTCTTCTTCTTCTTCTTCTTCTTCTTCTTCTTCTTCTTCTTCTTCTTCTTCTTTTTTTGGTTTTTCGAGACAGGGTTTCTCTGTGTAGCTTTGCGCCTTTCCTGGGACTCACTTGGTAGTCCAGGCTGGCCTCGAACTCACAGAGATCCA